TCATCAATTACAACATTCTAGAACTGAGTTATCACTCATCTAAGTCTGGTATCCGGGGTAATCTGGTTAATGATTATATAATTGAAGAAGTGGCTCTTTCCTTGTAGAATGTTGTCAGCAGTATATAACATATTGTTTTGCTAAGATGCTCAAACTTAACTTAATAGCTACACTCACCGACACAGGATAAACTTTATCCCTCATGCTGACCCTGACCAAACCGGTAAATTGCCCCTCACTATAGCTGCACTTCTCCACATGGCCAGACATGTAGTGATCTTCTCCCCTTTTAATGCTCTTATGCTCATCCTTGAAAAATGCCATATGGTCTGAAATAGACACCAAAGTCGACATACTGTACAAACTATTATCTAGCCTAAATAATACAACAATATTTTTTGATCTACTGCTCTGCTAGCTAAAGTGTACTCAGTGGCTAGCTAAGACAGAGAAAGTGGACGGAAGAAGTTCCACACTTTATTCAATTCATTTCAATACAGCACATGGATTCATCATGGATTGGGCACAGGTCTCTGATCGCACTGGTGGACGGTACCTGACTGTCGGCTAGAGATGACGTGCAGGACCATCCAGCAGGAATTTGTAGTCTTGCTGAGGTCTTCTCTGTTGATAATTAGTATTTCTAATTTTTTAGAGTAAATTGAGGCGACTATATTGATAAAAACTCAACTTGTCCGAGAGAGAAATATACAGTTATCAAAACGTTACACCAAGGTAAACCTATTTATTAAAAATACAAAACAGAAATACCTTATTTACATAAGTATTCAGACCCTTTGCTATGACACTCGAAATTGAGCTCAGGTGCATCCTGTTTCCATTGATCATCCTTGAGATGTTTCTACAACTTGATTGGAGTCCACCTGTGGTAAATTCAATTGATGGGACATGATTTGGAAAGGCACACGCCTGTCTATATACTGTCCCACATTTGACACTGCATGTCAGAGCAAAAACCAAGCCATGAGGTCGAAGGAATTGTCCGTAGAGCTCCGAGACAAGATTGCGTCGAGGCACAGATCTGGGGAAGGGTACCAAAAAATGTCTGCAGCATTTAAGGTCCCCAAGAACAAAGTGGCCTCGATCATTCTTAAATGGAATAAGTTTGGAACCACCAAGACTCTTCCTAGAGCTGGCCACCCGGCCAAAAAGAGCTATCGGGGGAGAAGGGCCTTGGTCAGGGAGAAGACCAAGAACCCGATGGTCACTCTGACAGAGCTCCAGAGTACCTCTGTGGAGATGGGAGAACCTTCCAGAAGGACAACCATCTCTGCAGCACTCCACCAATCTGGCCTTTATTGTAGAGTGGCCAGACGGAAGCCACTCCTCAGTAAAAGGCACATGACAGCCTGCTTGGAGTTTTCCAAAAGGCACCTAAAGGACTCTCAGACCGTAAGAAACAAGATTTTCTGGTCTGATGAAACCAAGATTTAACTCGGCCTAAACTTGGCCTAAATGCCAAGCGTCACGTCTGGAGGAAACCTTTCATGGTGAAGCATGATGATGTCAGCATCATGCTGTGGGGAAGTTTTTCAGCAGCAGGGACTGGGAGACTAGTCAGGATCGAGGGAAAGATGAACGGAGAAAAGTACAGAGAGATCCTTGATGAAAACCTGCTCCAGGACCTCAGACTGGGGGCGAAGGTTCACCTTCCAACAGGACAACGACCCTAAGCACACAGCCAAGACAATGCAGGAGTGGCTTAGGGACAAGTCTCTGAATGTCCTTGAGAGGCCCAGCCAGAGCCCGGACTTGAACCCGATCTAACATCTCTGGAGAGAACTGAAAATAGCTGTGCAGCGTCCAACCTGAGAGGATCTGCAGAGAAGAATGGAAGAAACTCCCCAAATACATTTACATTTACATTTTAGTCATTTAGCAGACGCTCTTATCCAGAGCGACTTACAGTTAGTAAGTATACAGGTGTGCCAAGCTTGTAGCGCCATACCCAAGAAGGTGCTTCAACAAAGTACTGAGTAAAGGGTCTGAATACTTAGTGAAATGCTTACTTACAAGCCCTTAACCAACAATGCAGTTTTAAGAAAAATAAGTGTTAAGTAAAAAATAAAATAATTAAAAATAAAATAATTAAAGAGCAGCAGTAAGTTAGTTTGAAATGTTTGTAAAATTCACTATGTGAAAAATGGATGGTGAAACAATTATTAGAACCATTTCCGTGTTTGACCGCAAGGTTTTATTGGTATTATGACGGGTCCACTATGGCCGACTACTGGAGTTAGTGGAAATGTGTTTTTGTAGGTAAGTCCTCATTCAGTGGCGTAGCGCATTTTCTTTCCTTTTTTTCTATCTTGCCACGGGGCAGAGAGACACATTTGTAGTTTTATAGCTAATCTCATGCAATTTTACACATTTTGCCATGAGGCTTAGTGAATATTTTTACTGTTTTAGAGCTCAGGGATTCTTGAAAGACAGGACAATCTCAACAGTTTTTTCCATAAATATTTGTCTTAATATTAACTAAATTTGAAATATATATTTTGATAGACCAAAGAATCAGCTATCACACCATGTAAAGGAACAACAGATGTTGACAACAGATACTCAAAATAGACATATTTTTGCCTCTAGAACTAAAAGTTCAATACAAACATATTTGTAAAATATGGAAAATGATTCATTTGAAAATCCCCAATAAAACTAAGCCATTCAATTAGCTCTTTCAGCACTCTGACGGAGTTGACCTTAAGCAAAAATCTGACGGGGTTGATTTTTTATGGAGTTGACAAAATGCAATTTTATTTCTTCCTTCAAGTGGTATACACAGTAGCAATTTAGTTTTTCCTCAGTTGCTTTATGACCTAATTAAATGTAACATATTTGAACTAAAATGCATATTCTACCTGGCAGATGGAGTTGACAGTTCATGGTTGTGACCATGGTGATTCCAATAGTCTGTTTAAATCTATCAAAAGTAGAGAACTTTACAGACCATGAGTGGGCTTGTTGCACTACATGTAATGATGACATGAATAAGGGGTCCTTATGGTATAGCTGACCCTGCTCATTCCTGATTGATTTTGGATCTTAGACAAATCTGATGGAGTTGGCCAAATCCCCGGACAAATCTTTTAGGAATCACAGTTCTGAGAGACATTTTCTTTAAGAGTCACAGAGGGCTATTGCAAAACACTACATACTATCATTTTTCAGTTAATATCCATTATTGACAGTTTTTAGAATTTTAAACACTTTTTTAGAGAGTTTAATATTGGGATCATTTGCTCCGGACAAGGGCATTTCCAGGCATAGAGCTGACATGGAAATGTATAATGTAGCAAGTATTTTGAGGGAAAACTCGTGGGCCCCATGGGGTATGTGCTACGCCTGTGTCCTCCATCACATCCAGCTGCCAAAAGGAAATAATTTGTGATAACAGTTTCCTCCCCTCCACCACTAGACAACGGAAAACATCAATTTCTCTCATATTGGAGTTGTATATTACTGGTACATGTACAGTGCATTCGGAAAGTATTCAGACCCCTTGACTTTTTCCACATTTTGTTACGTTACAGCCTTATTCTAAAATTGATTTAATTGTTTTTTCCCCTCATCAATCTACACACAATAACCCATAATGACAAAGCAAAAAAAAGGGTTTTAGACATTTTTGCAAACGTATTCTCTGCAGATTCTTTTCATCAAGGATCTCTCTGTACTTTGCTCCATTCATCTTTCCCTCGATCCTGACTAGTCTCCCAGTCCCTGCCGCTGAAAAACATCCCCACAGCATGATGCTGCCACCACCCTGCTTCACCGTAGGGATGGTGCCAGGATTCCTCCAGATGTGACGCTTGGCATTCAGGAGTTCAATCTTGGTTTCATCAGACCAGAGAATCTTGTTTCTCATGGTCTGAGAGTCCTTTAGGTGTTGTTCATAAAAGGTGTTTAAATAATCAAAATATGTCAAGGGATTTGTAGTGGAGTGAACCCCTTTCATAGATTGTTTGATAAATGGGTGAAAAGATACTACACAGAAATTCTCTTTGTGTGAGACACTTCAATGTTTCAATGATCCCTTTGTATTCTTCATTCATATACATTTGGCTTCTTCTTCCTTCTCAGTCTTAATTTCTCTTGAGGGCTACTCTACTTCCTGTGCACCTGTGACTTCTGCTTCCTGCTTCAGTCAGTCCCCCTCTGCTTCACATTGGTCCCCCATCACCCACCCCACACCCTCTACCCCTAACCGCATCCTATAGACTGTCACCATGTCACATGCAAACAAATACACATGCATCCCCCTCTCGTTTGAAGCAAATGAGAGAGAGAGGGGGAGAGAGAGAGAGGTTAAGCAGTGGGGTCCCCCCCCCCCACACCACTATCACAAGTCAGGGGCGTTGTGGGTTACTAAGCTTTCCCATCAGCACCCACAGACATCACAGGAATACGAGTAACACACACCACCTCTTGTGATAGGCCTGTGCACCTCTTGTGATGGGCCTACACACACCACTACCTCATAGCATTGATGATTCAGATACACAATGTCAAGGATCAAGTGGGAACCAATGCTAGTCTCAGCATAATCATAATGACTTCAATTACAACTACTGAGGGGCAGGATTTGGAAAATCAATCAATCACGTTCACCTAGACACCTCGCAATTAGACATGATTTTGAAAGGAAACAGAAGTGCAATGTAAAGATTTACAAATCAAAAGATGTATTCACTTTTTCATATCATTTAATAGAAAAACTAAAAAATGGTTGATTACAAAAATAATTGTAAGGCTGTACAAATTAGGGTAGATTCTTTCAGCGCACCCATTTTTAACACTGATCTTTGGCTCAAACTCTTGACACTGATGATGGAGGCACAGTCCAGTCTTACGTTGAAATTACAGTAAGGCATTTTAGTCCAAGACCTGAGTATACTGTATACTATTCAGAAGATGTGATGTAAAGTTCATTGGTCTATCTACATTCATATCCATGGCTCCTGGGGCCTGTTTGTGTGTTACTCCTGCATGTGTTGCAGGGTCCTCTGGTAGTCTCCTGGAGCTAAAGGGGAGCTCTGTTGCAGGGTCCTCTGGTAGTCTCCTGGAGCTAGAGGGGAGCTCTGTTGCAGGGTCCTCTGGTAGACTCCTGGAGCCGGAGGGGAGCTCTCTGTGTGTCCCTGGAGCTCGTAGTCCCTCAGGCAGTGACTGCTGCTCTGCTGGCTGAAGTATAACAGGTCCCTGACAAACATGGGCTCCACCTGCAACACATACAGGGGTCACACCATGAATTATGAATGCCAATGAATTTACCTAATCTCTCTTGGGCAGATTCTGTGTGTAAACCGAGATAATCTGTCAGGGCTGTAATAGAATGGCTGAGATAACTAGCAGCAGTAGTTCCTGTGTTTGGGTTTTGTCACTGATTATTTGGACGAATCAGGATTGGGTGAAGGCGGCGCTAAAATATAAAAACTGGGGACAGTGATTTCAAGCCGTGTGCGCAGTACTTAATTAGAGGAGGGGGAGACTTTCGTTTTACGAGGGTGGAGACTTTGCTTCCTTTCTGCTACAACGGAACTCTCAATTGTTAACACGTTTTTACCCATAAGTAAACTGACCATATTTCGTGATAATTTATTTCTGGGTAACCAAGAATAGCAAATCTCTCCCTTCCCCTCCCCCTTGGGCCTAACCTTTAGTTTCTGCAAATCTGTAAGCAATACGCACTGCTTATACCTATCCAGACCCTACAGATTTGCAAACATCGATGGGTTAGGGCCAAGGGAGAGAGCGATTTGGGACATGTTTACATTTTAGTCATTTAGCAGACGCTCTTATCCAGAGCGACTTACAGTTAGTGAGTGCATACATTTTCAAACTGGCCCACCGTGGGAAACGAACCCACAACCCTGGCGTTGCAAGCGCCATGCTCTACCAACTGAGCTACAGGGGACTTACATGATAGAGTCCTTTGTTTATCATCATGAGTAACAAGACTAGGCAGGCTATATTTTATTTTATTTTTATTTCAGCCTTTCTCATGTTGGACTATTATTGTAATGCATTGTTGATTCCAACCCTAATAAGACAGCGAGAGTCTGTAATGTACTGTACCTGTGCTGTGATCATCTTGGCCTGGCGCAGAGGGTCCGGGTACTCGTCTCCAAAACACAGCACCACCTGGTGCCTGGGCATGGGACGGCCATTGTGGGCATACGACTGCAGCTCTGGAAGGAGGGATGGAGGGACAATGAGTTTATCACCTTATTTCACCTCCAATTCACCAGTTCGTCACCAAACAGCTGGAAACATCTACTTTGCTCATGAATGAAGGACTTTTAGCTTGAGAGGGATGGGTATTGTGATCCAGTATCACTGCATGGAACATTCTAAAAGGAAGAGGTTCACAGAATGAGAAAGAGGAGTCAGTGAAAGGTTTTTCCAGTTATTTGCAAGGAAGTCCTTGGTGTGACAAATGAGTGGTTCACATGTAAACTACAGCTAGAGACTGAGAGGTGGACCACAGGAGGTGGGCGGGGGCTGTTGGAGAGGGACTTCACATTCTACAGTAGGTCTCCTCACCACCATCATCAACGTTCAGCACCATCATCATCATCTCACAATCAAAATACTGTTTCTCACCAGTGAGGAACTGCTGAGTGTCAAACAGCTTGCAGGTCTGTTCTTTCTCCAGTTTGTTGGGTTTGTCCGTGTAGGGTGCCAGCGGGCCTTCCCAGTACACACGACTCTGGCACAGCCGCTTGGCATAGAGCCCATCTGACGCCATCCACAGGAGCACACCCCTCTCCAGGACGTTGGGTAGCTTCTCCGCCCCCCTCCTCTGAGACTGGGGGTAAGGGGAGGGAAACAGCACTGTCTCTGCACCGCTGTACAGCCTGTCCTCAGGGCAGGGGGAGGACGGAGAGGAAGATGAGGAGGAGGAAGATGAGGAGGAGGAAGAGGTGATCCGGCAGCCTTCAGGACTAGAGGTGGTTACCTTCTTGACCAGAGACTCACGGTAGAACAGGGATACATGCAGTCGGAAATCTGGAGGAAAGTGGGGGGAGGTTGTTAGAGAATGAACGAGTGAGTAAAAGTATTTCAAATGAAAGAAGATGGACAGCTGTCTGAAAATAAATGCCTTCTTTCCATGTTTGGAGTCGTATTAAAAATCTGTATCCGTTTCTGATATGAAGATGTGTTTGGGGAGTTGAAATCACTTTCGCTGGCCAAAAGTCTGTTTCTTCTTTTAGTAAATAGAATGTATCTTGCAAACAGTGTATATAGAAAGAAAGTGAATGACGGAAGTTAGCAAACTGCTGAACTTTATGACTTTCATAATCCGCCGAGCTGAACATTAAATACTGTTAAAATGTACATGCAAAGCAAAAGGAGCCAGTTCTTCATCTGTATTTTCAACACTGATATACAGTACAACGTAGTCATGTTTAATTTTGTGTATACCATTTTATATAATACTGCTTATGTTACTGTAACTGTAGTGGTCGCTACAGTCACCCATCTAAAACATCAACAATAAATATTAATAGAAAACCATTAATTTGAGCACTGTTTCCAGTTCCATCATTGACAAACAACTGACCTTATTAAAAGACAGATTAGGGAAGTAATTGTCCTATATAAACAGCTTCTAGTTTCTGGTGGTTGGTAACACAAGATACTAATTCAGTACGCTCCACTACATCTTACTAATATTCCCTTTGTGTCTATCTGTCATTAACACTGGTCAGTGGTGTGGAATTGCAATAGAATACCCAAATGCTGTGTGCACAATAACTACAAAAAGGTGCGCAGGAATAATTGCATTATATCTTGAAAGAAACTAGAAGAGTAGCTAGCAGTAGCAGGAGTAGTAGTGGCAGCAGTAGTAGTAGTAGTAGTAGTAGTAGTGGCAGCAGTAGTAGTAGAAGTAGTAGTAGCAGTAGCAGCAGTAGTAGTAGTAAGTATCGTAGCCAGTAGTAGTTAGTAGTAGTAGTAGTAGTAGTAGCAGCGAGTATAGTAGCAGTAGTAGTAGTAGTAGTAGTAGTAGTAGTAGCAGTAGCTAGCAGTAGCAGAGTAGTAGTAGTAGTAGAGTAGTAGTAGCGAGTAGTAGTAGTAGTAGTAGTCAGTAGTAGTAGTAGTAGGTAGTAGTAGTAGTAGTAAGGCAGTAGCAGTAGTAGTAGTACGTAGTAGGTCAGTAGTTAGCAGCAGTAAGTAGAATCAGAGCAGTAGTAGTAGTAGCAGTAGTAGTAGTAGCAGTCAGGTAGCTAGCAGTAGCAGCAGTAGTAGTAGTAGGGTATCAGTAGTATGTAAGTATCGTAAGTAGTAGCAGTGCTAGCATAGCAGCATAGTAGGATAGTATAGTAGTAGTAGTAGCATTAGTAGTACTTAGAGTAGTAGAGCAGTATCCTACGTAGCCGCAGCCTAGTAGTAGTACTAGTAGTGAGCAGTAAGCAGGAGCAGTAGAAGTATCAATAGTATTAGTAGAGTATAGTATCTAGCAGTAGCGCAGTAGTAGTAGCTGCAGTAGCCGCAGTAGTAGTAGTAGTAAGTACAGCATAGCTAGCATACAGCAGTAGTAGTATAGTAGCCTAGCTATCAATAGCACATTAAGTAAGTAGTAGTCGTAGTAGTTAAAGTAGTATAGTAGTCCGAATTATAGCATAGTAGTAGTAGTAATTAGTAGTTAGTAAGTCAGCAGCAGTAGTGTAGTATCCGCAGCATCAGCATAGTAGTATAGTTAGACAGTAGCAGTACAAGAGCAGTAGCAGTCGCAGTAGTATTCAGTCGTAGTACATAGCGAGCAGTACAGCTGATAGTGTAGTACAGTAGAAGTATAGTAGTATAGTCGTATAGTAGTAGTAGTTAGTAAAGTAGAGCGACAGTAGCAGTAGTATTAGTACTAGTAGTAGTAGTAGTCCCATTCGTATAGCGCAGTCACAGTCTAGCATAGTCGTAGTAGCAGTAAGTAGTATTGTAAGGTAGTATAGTAGTAGCGTAGCTGGAAGTAGCCGCCATAGTAAGTAGCATAGTGCCGTATAGTAGTAGTAGTATAATTAGCAGTAATGTAGTAGCATAGAATAATTATAGCAGCATAGTAGTAGCAGTAGTATAGAATTAGTAGTAGTATAGTAGTGTAGTCCAGTTAGCTAGCAGTAGCAGTCATAGTATAGAGTAGTAGTAGCTAGTAGTAGTATGCAGTATCTGCATTATGCAACATCAGTGTAGTTTACTAGTCGTAGCGTAGCATACATAGCATAGCAGTAGAATAGCATATAAGTACAGTAGAAGTAGCAGTAGCAGTAGTGGTAAGTAGCAGTACTCGTAGGCAGCATTAATTAGTATCTATCAGTAGCGCAGTAGTAGTAGTAGTAGCAGCATACCTAGCAGTAGCAGTCGTAGTAGTAGTCGTAGTATAGTAAATAGCAGTGTAGTAGTAGTAGTAGTAGTAGTACTAATAGTTATATGTATAGCAGGCAGTAGAGTAGTAGCAGCAGTAGTAGTAGTATTAGAATTTGAGTCGATTAATACGTTAGTAGAGCATAGCGAGCAAGTAAGTATCTGTTAGCAGTAGTTGTATAGTAGTGTAAGTCAGTCGTCAGTCAAGCAGTAGTAGTATAGTTAGCAGAAGTAGTAGCAGTCGTAGTAGTAGCAGAATCGTATCATGTAGGAGTAGTATTAGTAGCAGAAGTATCGTCAGCAGTAGTATATAGTAGAGTAGTGTAGTAGTAGTAGCAGCAGTAGTATTAGTAGTAGTACTTAAGTAGTAGTTTTATAGCTATGCGTACTACGAGCAGTAGCGCAGTAGTAGTAGTAGTGTCAGGAGTGCAGTAGTATAAAGCAGTAGTGTAGTAGTAGCGAGTATCTACAGTAGCAGACAGCATTAGTGTAGTACAGTAGTAGCAGTCGCAGTAGCAGTAGAAATATAGCAGTAGTATAGTAGTCAGTCAGTATCTAGCAGTAGCAGTCAAGTAGTCGTAGCTCGCCTAGCCAAGCAGTAGTAGTGAGAGTGGTATCACATAGCTAGCAGGCCATAGTAGTAAAGTATACTTAGCTAGCCTGCAGCAGTAGTAGTAGTATGTCGTAGTAGTAGTAAGTAGTAGTAGCTATAATAGCAGTATATTAGTAGTAGTATAGTAGTATATAGCAGCTAGTAGTATAGCCGCAGCGCGCAGTAGTATATAGTAGTAGCCTTAAGCAGTAAGCATAGCAGAAAGCGTAGTAGTAGTAGTAGCAGAGCTAGCATGTAGCAACTGTATAGTAGGAGTAGCAGTAGAAGTAGTAGTATCGTATAGAGTAGTAGTGAGTGTAGTAGTAATATAGTATATAGTACCATAGTAGCAGTAGGAGTAGTACTCAGTAGTAGTAATAGGAGTAGTCGCACATTCACAGTCGTATCAGTATAATTTAGCAGTAGCAGTAGTAAATTAGTAGTATAGTTAGTAGCAGTATCTGGCAGTAGCAGCAGCATAAGTAGCAGTAGTAGTATAGTAGTAGTAGTAGTAGCAGTCAGTAGCGTAGCAGTACATAGCAGTCGTAGTAGTAGCAGACGTAGTAAGTAGTAGCAGAGTAGTAGTAATCGTCGTAGGTATTGTACCAGTAGTAGCAGTAGAGTAGTACGAGTAGAGTATTGTAGTAGTAGCAGCAGTCCATCTAAGCATAGTAATACGTAGCAGTAGCAGAGTAAGTAGTAGTACGTAGTAGTAGTAGCAGTAGCTGGCATAGCAGCAGCCAGTAGTATCAGTGTCGTAGAGTAGTAGTAGTATAGCAGTAAGCACCTACAGTAGCCAGTTACGTAGTAGGATCAGTAGTAGTAGTAGTAGCAGCAGGATAGTAGCGTAGTAGTAGATGTAGTAGTAGTAGTAGAAGTAGCTAGCAGTAGCAAGTAGTAGTATAGTCGTATCAGCAAGCTAGTAGGAGTCCTCGTAGTAGCAGTAGCCTGAGAAGTAGCAGTAGAAATTACACTAGACGTACAGTAGCATTAGTAGTAGTACAGTAGCTAGCATACAGCAGTATTAGTGTCAGCAGTAGCAGCAGTCGTAGTAGTGTGCAGCAGTACTGCAGTAAGCTAGTAGTGTGTAGTAGTATTAGTAGTAAGTGTAGCGCATAGTAGTAGTAGCACGTAGCAGCATAGTATAGTATTAGTAGCAGTATCAGTAAGCAGTAGCAGTAAGGCGTATCATAGCAGTATTATTCAGTATATCAGTAGCTAGCAGTAGCACTGTAAGTAGTAGTAGTAGCAGTAGGAAGTATGTAGTTAGTAGTGTAGTAGTAGTAGTAGTTAGTAGTATAGTAGTAGTAGTATTGACCGTAGTGCAGTAGGTAGTATACTACGTAGTCGTATTAGTTATTAGTAGCAAGCATCACAGTCGAGCATTAGTCATATTCAACGTATCAGTGTATTAGTAGTAGTAGTGTAGTACAGTAGCTGGCCGAGCAGCAGCAGTAGTCGCACGTATAAGTAGTTAGTTAGTAGTATTAGCAGTAGTCAGTAGCATGCATAAGCAGTAGCAGTAGTAAGTAAGTACAGAAGACGTCAGTAGTATCAGCAGTAGTTAGTAATAGTAGTAAGTAGTAGTACCCATAGTAGCAGTAGTATATTACCTAGTAGTAGTAGTAGTAGTAGTATCAGCAGTCACAGTCGTAGCATAGTAGTAGTAGCCGTAGCATAGTAATTTAGTAGTAGTAGTAGTATCATTAGCTGGCAGTAGCGCAGCATAAGTAGCCTAGTAGTAGTAGTAGTAATAGTAGTAGTAGCGTAGCATTGTCATACTCAGTAGTCATAGTAGTTAGCAGTAGTAGTAGTAGTAGCAGAGTAGTAGTAGCATAGTAAGTAGTGTAGTAGTAGTAGTAGCAGTAAGCTACATTGCACCTTATAGTATGTAGCACAGCAGTAGTAGTGTACAGTAGTAGCATAGCGTAAGCAGTAGACTAGCGTAATAGAGCAGTAGCAGTCGCAGTACAATATTAGTATTAGCAGTAGCTACAGTACAGCAGTATTAGTATCTAGCAGTACAGCAGCATTATTAGTGTAGTAGCAGAGGT